GGTTAACGGTCTGACTGACATGAGCGGCTGCCAGATGTGCGCTTGAGAAAACTCGTGACACAGAACTTCTTTACCCAGGTATCTCCATTTGCTCTGTTCCTTGAGGATTGAAGTGAGAACTGTGCTCGATATGCATTCAGAAGAAGTATCCTCTAAGCAAATTCCGAGCCGCAAGGGGGATCCTGTGGAAGGCCATCTCGAATCGGTATAGGAAAACGCATCAACAGCCCAAGAGATAATATGATGCATGCAAAAACCAATAGGTATATGAAAAGACGGTGATTCGATCCGGATTATACGTAACAGCAGGCAAACAGCTGCGGTCCAGGGTCAAGTAACCGCTTCGTTTATTACACTCAGTGCACGAGGGATCGGTGAACTGGGGCGAGATGGCCCAAGCGCGAGTTTACTGACCGGAAGGTCCGTGGTTCAAACCCGACCCGTGCCTCTTGACTTCCCCTGTCTAGGCTTGGATAACCTGGCAATATCCCAGCCCTCGTGTTTCCTCCGGGTGGCATGGCAGCTAGGTACCGGAAGGGTGTTACAGATGAACGAATTGGGACCGAGAAGACCCCGGGCCCTCGTGAAGGAAACATGGCACGTTTGTATCCATCATGGCAGGGATGAGTGTCGTAATGCTACATCCATGCGAACAGACCACCGCAAAGAGGCAAACGGTTAGCATTAGTTGCAGGCTTTTCCGAACAAGAATTCGGGAATCGAGTAATTCCTACGAGGGCCCCTTCAGCAGCTTAGCAGTTAGAGCATGTCGAGATCAATAAATACACGCACACTGCAATCTAATGCACCAGTAAGTGGTAAGACGCCCTACTGGGATATGGCATACTCAAAAAGACAACGAAAACTATTGTCGTCGGGGAGACAACTCCGTTCATGTTGAAACTGATTTCTTTTCGAATGCCTGTCTGGCTGGTCCGATGAACTAATCGCTTTGACAGCCTCGTTACGCGTTGTTACTCAATTAGCATTAGACTTTCCCTCCAAAGGCTTTCTCATTGGCCCTACGGCGTGAACATATTTCAGCGTGTGAAAATTGATCAACCTAGGAGATTCGCATTTCAATTATGGATTCTAATGTGTCACGTGGCAGCAGAAATCGCATGGCTATTAAAGTGAGACCAGACTGAAATAAACCTATTATGTGCATGTATTTTTAACGTCAAAGCAATTTTGTTTTCCCACGGAGGTCAATAAATTCAGTGTTGTCAAAAATGGTGTATAAATCTAACCTGGGAAATAAGTTAGCTTGTGACGGGAGATGACACTCGACTGACTGCCAAACGCATTCAAGCGTGCTCTGTCATCCGATTGGTGTGTCGTTTGGCGGGGTTTCTTCGTTTCCAGTTTGAACATAACTAATAATTTGAAGGTGTGTCGATTTCACTGGGGAGAGACTTTTGCAAGTGTAACACAACTATAGAGAAACTACGAGCAAAGTTACCGTTTGCTTTCTTTCGGAGCAGCATCTAAAACTCGGTAGAAGTTACCTTTTATGGCAGGAGAACAACTCGGTTGAAAGCCCGAAGACGGTTAGCTGGCCTTCGTTTGCAGAATAATCGGACATGGATATGCTCCTTGTTGCCAAAGGAGGGGTCACCCACTTTGAAGAGACGCAATGCTTCTTCCGGTGATGTCCTCTATTTGGAGAGATAGCATCTCCTATATCCCACCGAATCTGATTCAGTGATTCCAAACCTCAGGAGTCTCATCACTTTGAATATCCAAACGTCGGTCAGAACGTCCGTCACAATGACCAACGTTTCCACCCCGCAAATCAAACTTGTTATTTTTCTGGCATTTTAGACATTTCTCCGCGTATTTGACACTGACAATACCGGACAGATTACACTTGATCAATTCTGCAAGACCCTCGGACTGATTCCAAAACAGGCGTGAGTTTCTCTTTTGTTCTAAACGTTAATACAACCAGCAAGATTTGATCATACGGATGTAGGTCTTCAGTCCAAGTTGTGGCAAGGTAATGCGCATCTCGGAGAGTTCCCGCACAATTTTAACACAGAAACTTTCAATATGAGGACGAGTAAAGTACCGCCTACAGTAATCTCTTCACCAAGTTGAACTGAGGTTTAATAGTTTTATCTCTTAGGTAAAATCAGTGCGCGCCGGAAAACCGAGAAGCAGTTTACAGCTGTTCCATCCTTATTGGGACCCGTCCGCAGTGCGCATGTCGCGAAAATCCAGTGGAGAGTCTCGAACCAGCGACCTTCCGGCTAGTAGTTTGAACATTTAAACTTTCGGCTATGATTGTGATTGACTTGTACTGGATCCTCGAACGGCTCCACGTGTGACTATGTGATGTGGATTCTGTGATTGAAAGATGATTGGCGATATATCCTGTTTGAGTCTAAACTGCTGTAACCAAACGGTTAAGTGTCTAACCCTCAAGTCATGAGGTCACGGGTTGGAAACTTCATGAGTCTCGACAGATACGCCCTTCTGCTGGCTCCCAAATGAAGATAAAGCAGCTGTACAATGCTTCTAGCACGGATTAGTTTCACTTAGGGGAAGAAATATCCTTTATGATTACATATGGAGCCAGACAGTACAAGTAGTTGGATCTGGACATAAGTGGCACCACGAGTGAGGGCCTTTGCGAAGGCTGTATAAGGTTCTCGTTCACCTGAAGAAAAATTCAAACACACGGACCCGTTTGTGTGTGGAGGGTGGGGTTAAAAACTAACTGGCGCTAGAACTTTACGTTGCGTTTGCCTGAATTAGCTTACTTCTAGATACCTAGCTCCTTTGCCAGTGTGGTGATTATATGACTTCGCACAGGTTGTTTAGAAACATTAGTTTAT